GGGGATTTATCCCTAAGGTTTAGGGTTTAAGCTTTTTAGGGTTTGAGTGTAACATTTAAGTTCTCCTAGGTTTTTTTTTTTGGGGCTTTTTGGGGTTTGGGGGTTTGGGGGTTTGGGTTTTGGGTTTTGGGTTTGGGGTTTGGGGTTTTGGGTTTTGGGTTTCGGGTTTCGGGTTTGGGGTTTGGGGTTTCGGGTTTGGGGTTTGGGGTTTAGGGTTTGGGGTTTAGGGTTGAGGGTTTAGATTTTTTTTTTTTAATTTGAACGACCCTTGAGGGGGTCAGGGGCTTAGCAACACCCCCAGGCCTTAGCATAAATAAAAACAAGCAAATACACGGAGGGGGACATAAACCTAACCTCCAATCCTATGGTGGTTCATTAGTCGACCTTCCTACTAAGGATAGTCAACTAATCCCCATTCTAAAAAGGAGACTCTAGTTACTAAACACCTAAAAGAGAGGACTCTTCTCGATACAAGTATTCTAGAAATCATAAATAAGGGAGACTCTCCCTTTACAAGTAGACAAAATAAAACAAAATGAACTCTAGACCTATTCAAGAAAGCTATGATTTTCAATCCTAGCTAGTTGAAAAGGTGGGGAATCCACTCAAGGTGGTTCTTTGATTCTCTTGATTTTCCTTCTTCTAAAACTTGCCATTTCGGCCATGTCTAGTTGATAATAGGCTCTTGCTTCTCTTGGTAATTGTTGGGTGTTACAATATATTTGGGGGCAAGTAAGCTTGTGACTTTGTTTTGATAGGGAATCTGCCACAAAGTTAGCCTCTCTATATGTGTGTTTGCACCGAAAGATGTGTGTTTGTCTGGCTAATTTCTGCAGCTGTTGTAGTTGTGTGCTGATGCTCCATGGAGGTTTGGCTTTCTGCGTGATCCAGTCTACAAGTAGTTGCGAGTCCACTTCTAGAACAACCTTCGTGTAGCCCAGCTGGAGTACCCATGTCATGCCAAAAATGGCTGCTCCTATTTCGGCTTGATTGTTAGTGCCTTCCCCCAAAGGGGTCGCAAATATTAATAACATTACTCCCATTTGATCTCTTAGGATGCCGCCTGCTCCAATTCTGCCCGGGTTGCTTAATGCACTGCCATCCGTGTTGATTTTGACCCAACTAGCTGGAGGTTTTATCCATCTAACGAGTGTCACTTTGATATCATGACTACAGCTCTCCCCTAGCTGAATCAGTTCCTTCCAATTTGAAGGCCATTTGATTTGGGGGAAGTTAGTGCTCATTAGTTGTAGTTGTCCTTGTAGATGGCTATATTTGACTCGACTAATATTGGACGATTTGCCTCCATATTTACTAGCACAGCGATTCTTCCAAAGGTTCCAACAAATGAATAGTGGTGTCGCTTGTAGTAACAGCTTGTGTGCTTCATTGTTATACTTCGCCGACCACCATCTTATGATGAGTTGAGTAATAGAGCTGTGGTCTGTGATGATTCCGGCAGCATCTGCAAAGCTTCTCCACACATATTTCGCGAACTGTCCGGTGTTGAATATGTGCTCTATCGTGTCGAGGCCAGACCTGTTACAACAACAAAAACAGCTTGTTGGCTCAATGCCAAAGCTAGTAGTTTTTCATTAGTAGGGAGTTTGCCTCTTAGTGTTCTCCACAAAAGAAATGAAACTTTAAAGGGAATACACTTATGCCAAATGAATGAGTTAAAATTGGTCTTGGTCCTTTTTTCTCTGATCTCGTTCCAGGCAGATGAACAGCTGAAATTCCCGTCCATGCATGGTTTCCATATTGCTACGTCTGGGAGGTCCTGCTGGTTGGAGAGTTCTGTGGAGAGAATGCTAGCTAGTTGACTGGTAGGTGCCTGTTGTAGAAGCTTGTTCCAGTTCCATTGTCCATCAAGTCTAAATTCAGCCACTGTGGTGTTGTTGAATCTGTTGCTATTGGTAGAGTAGTGAGCCAGAGGTCCACTGCCCAGCCAATTATCCCACCAGAAGGAGCAGTTGCCGGAGTTGAGCTTCCATTGAATGTGTTTTTCGACTTGAAGCTTGTTGTGCATAAGGTGCTTCCAAGTCAGTGACTCCCCTGTATCCCATTTCTTACTAATTGGGTTAGACCTTTGGCAATATTTAGCCTTTAAAAATCGCCCCAAAGAGTTTGTTTGGATCTAAAGATCCACCATTGTTTGTATTGGAAGGCTAAACACACATCTTTGAGGTTCCTCATACCAACACCCCCTTCTTCGTACGGAAAGCTTAAATTTTTCCATGACGACCAGTGATATTTTTTCCTCTCATTCCTCCATCCCCAAAAAAAGTCAGCTGTGATATTTTTTCCTCTCATTCCTCCATCACCAAAAAAAATCAGCCGTCATGCTTTGGATCTGCCTGAGGACAGTGACTGGAGGTGTTACTGAGGCTAATAGGTGAATAGGTAAGGAGTGTAAAACGTGCTTGACAAGGATTGCTCTACCACCATAACTTAAAAGCTTAGTTTGCCATCCTGTAATCCTGCATAAAACTTTGTTAATAAGATCAGAAAAATAAATAATCCTAGGTCTACCAACAAATAAAGGGCAGCCGAGATAGATGATAGGGCCCTCCTTCTGCCTGAAACCTGTGATTCTTTCGATTCTGTCCTTTGTGCTGTTGAATGCACTCGAGTGAACCATGAAGTGGCTTTTCTCGGTGTTAACTGATTGGCCTGAGGACTGCTCATAGGACTGGAGAGTTTGCATGATCAGCTGCAGTGTTTTCTGCCGTCCTGAGGTGAAGAGGATAATATCATCCGCAAAGCTTAAATGATTCACTTGGGGACCTCTAGGCTCCATGAAGAAACCATGGTATTCGGGGTTGTTGTACAGCCTGTTCAGAGATCTGGAAAGTACCTCTGCACCTAAAATAATAGGGCAGGAGATAACGGATCGCCTTGCTTGAGTCCTCGCGTGGATTGAAAGAACCATGTCTTTTGCCATTGACAATGATAGAGTACCAATTGTTAGCCATGATTCTCCAAATCATATCGATAAGAACTTCATCAAATCCCATCCTTCGTAGCACCAAACATATATAGGACCAAGAAACCCTGTCATACGCTTTAGCCATATCCAATTTAATAATAACATTGCTTCCAATATTAGGTTTCTTAATTTGGTGGATAATTTCTTGGGCCAGCATAATATTTTCTGAAATACTTCTCCCTTTGACGAACCCTGACTGATTAAGGGAAATCAAATTAGGTAGAATAGGACTTAGTCTAGAACTTACTATCTTAGATATAATCTTACTAGTGATGTTGCTTAGACTAATGGGCCTGAATTCTGCAAGTTTGTTAGGATTTTCACCTTAGGGAGGAGCACAATGCAAGAGTGAGAGAAATACTTGGGAATCATTTGACCACAAAAGAAAGCATGAGTTACGTCAAGAAGATCATGTTTGATAATGTGCCAACACTTTTGAAAAAAATATCCATTCATCCCATCAGGACCAGCTGCTGAGTTGGGGTTCATGGAGAATACCACTTCCTTCAATTCTTCCAGATTAGGCATAGCAGTAAGTCTATCATTGTGTTCCTGGGTGACCATCTGTGGTATACATTCCAGGTACATCCTCATTGATTATCTTGTTATCTCCTGTGAAGATTTTCTGGAAATGGTCGCAGGCAGCTTCAGCAATGACCTCATCTCCCTGTATCCATTCCCCATCTTCCCTGATAATTTTATGATCAATGAAAAGCCTTCGTCTTCTTCCCCTTATCAGGGAGTGGAAATATTTTGTATTGCAATCACCTTCCTTGAACCACTGCAACTGTGTTTTTTGTTTCAAAATGGAGTCTTCTAACTTCAAGAATTTGATATACCTAGCATTGAGTTCATGAAGTATAGATCTATTACTCTCACTAGGATCTTGAATCAGCTGCTCCTCCATTGTTTTGACCTTCTCTTCAAAATCCCTGACTTTAGCAAAAATATCCCCAAACTCCTCTCTGGACCAGTTGCTAAGAGTTTTGGATAATCTCTTCAGTTTCTGATGAAATTTCCACATGATGTTACCCTCAACATTCCTGTCCCAGCAGGCTTTAACAATATCAAGGAAATTAGGTTGATCAGTCCAGCAGTTAAGAAATTTAAAATATTTGATCTGATCATCTTCCCTAGCTTTCATTTCCATCAATAAGGGGCAGTGATCTGACCCTACTGAAGGTAGATGGGTGATAGTAGTCTGAGGCATCTTTTCCAGCCAGGCATCAGTAACTAGAGCTCTGTCCAGTCTTTTCCAAACTCTCTGTTGTATACCCCTGTTGTTAGACCAGGTAAATTTCTGTCCACTGAAGCCTAAATCTATAAGACCACAGGCCTCAATAATAGCAATGAAATCAAGACTTTTCCTCATGTTGTAAGGGACCCCTCCCAGTTTTTCTCAATAGAAGTAATAACATTGTAGTCTCCCACTGAGCACCAAGGCCTATCAATATCAGCAGATTGATGTAACATTCTATCCCATAAAGGCCTTCTGAGATGGTCTTTACATTTGGCATACACAAAGGTAGTGGTGAAGTGATTTTGGAGTTCATTATGCCTAAATTCACAGGTAATTTGTTGTTCATCCTCCTCTAGAACTACACAGTCAATGTCCATGTTCCAAAAGAGCCAGATTTTACCATTGCAATTACTCACACCATGTTCCATAGCTAACTGATATTTGGCACTTTGAATATGAGTATTGTCCGAGAAAGGTTCCAAGATGGCAATGATAGATAGTTGATGCATCTTCTTGAGCATTTTGAGTCTTTCAATTACACCTTGAGTGTTGATCCCCCTCACATTCCAAATAATTGTATTAATCATTGAGATGCAGGGGATGTAAATAGCCTAGTGTTTGGTCTGCCAGCAGTGACAGTGTTGATATCCTGAACATGGAATTTGAATCTCTCATGGTGGAATCCTCTAGGTGATAGTCCCTGACTATTAGTCGCCTGCTGAATTTCCTCTGCAAAATCTTTATCTGGATGAGGACTAAAAGCTCTAATAAGAAGCTCACTAGTCTCATCATCCTCGTCAGGATCTTTGAGAGATTGATTATCCACATCCGGTTCATCCTCTGAATTATTAACTGCATATTCATCTATTATAGGGCCTGTGTTCAGGTGACACTTTGCATACCTGTCATCAGGAGGTACCTTAATTGGAGAGCTCATGTACTGGGTTTGTAAAGGGGTAATATCCATGCCCAAGTGTTCCTCAACCATAATGAATTTCTTGCAAACTTCCCCTTCTTTTTGTTGTTCCCCCTGCTGGACATTATCCTGCTGTATGCTCTGTCTTTTTTTTTTTTCAGCCTCTCTCTTCTTCTTACTGGGTTTGTTCTTGCTTTTGGGGGCATTTCCTTGGTTGCTAGTGCTTGCCTTGGCTCCCATATCTTTTGCCATGGCTCCTATATTCTGTTTATCTGTAGTTCCTGCCCTTACTTGCTGCGTTTCTTTATTATTTTCAGTACTCATCAGTTTCCCTGGTCCTGACTGTACCTGTTGCTGTACCTGTTGCTGAGTCTGTTTGTGAAGCTGGACAGTAGTGGTAGCAGGGGGTCTAAGGTCAGGACTATGGTCAAGGTGTATACCCTCATGCATAACATGAAGCAAATTCCCCCCTTTGGACCCCTTTTCCTGCAGGTTAGTATGGCTCTCCTGACATCCCCCTTCCATCCCTCCTTCAGCTTCCACAACACCATTAGAAATTAAAATATTGGGGTTTGTGGGATTTGGGAGCATTGAGTCAATACCTGTACTCTTGTTATTTGCTTGGGTTTCTGTTTGCAAGATTTGTTCTTTTTGGTTGTGGTCTGTTTTTGACTTGCTCTGTGAATCTTGTGTTGCTTTTCCTTCATTGCTGCTGTGTCCCTGAATATCTTGAGACTGTTTTTCCTGCATGCTAAGGTTAGAAAAAAAATTATGATTAGAAGTATTATGTATACCTTTTTGCTGAGCTACGGGTTGTGGTTGATCTCTTGGCATTTTGTTCTTTGGTGAGGTAGGTCTCCACACTGCCTTTTGTGTTTTCTCCTCCATTGGTTTATTGCTTTTTCTTCTTGTCACTTGCCATTCTTCTTCCCTTTGCTGTTCAGGTGTGTTCCCTTCTTTGGTGTTTCGATGTTGTTGTTCCTCTTGCTTCCTTGGCCTGACTTGTCTATTCTCATTTCCTTGCTGCCCCTAATCACTCATACTCATATTTTTCATCTCTGCACCTAATTCTTTTCTACGTTTGAGGTCCTCATCTCTTATTTTGAAGTTGCAATCCCCTATCATATGACCTTGATGCCTGCAGTAGGCACAGTAGGGAGGAATATTTTCATATTCGATTGGTTGCCATCTCCCTATAGTGAGGTCCTCCTCATCCAAGCCTATCCAAACGTGTCGAGGTCTAGTTTTGGTGAGGTCTACTTGGACTTTAACCTTGGCCATACTAGCTCTAGTTCGGTTAATGGATGCTGTATCTAAGTAAAGAACTTTGCCCACTGATTCCAGCAGGGGTGTGATGAACTCCTTCTTGAAGCAGTGCCATGGTAGGCCTGGCAGCAGTACCCATATGGGAACAATGGGTGTTTCTTCCTCAGGCTTAAAGTTGGGGGTCCATGCTTGTATTCTCATGAGTTTGCCCTCAATGGTCATTCGTTGTTGTGTCCATACCGTGTTATAGTCCAATTCATTTTCCAAATCAATAAATACATGTCTAGCATTATAGTGTGCAATATTGACCCCCCCATTCAGCTGAGTTTGTAAGATGAAACTCTTCCTGATGAGTTCTATCTTTGGCATTGTGGTACTGAACTTACCTATAAGGGTATATTTGCAATCCACGGCTAACTTGTTCATGAAATCATCCATGTCATAGATCACAGCAGGCTGGCCTTGTTTAGTAGTGTGCTTGGGTGGAACAAGTTCAATAGGAATGGTCTGCGTAGCATGGATTTGCCTGAGCCTAGCAGCTAGAGTTTGCACCACAGTATAGGGGGCAGGTTCGACACTTGGGATCTGTTTGGTTTTTTGGTTCTCGTTGGAAGTATTGGGCTCTGTGGACTGATTGGGATGCTGGATTTGCTGGTTCTGCTGGTTTGAACTGATATGCCTATCAAAATTGCTAGAAAGTTTTGGGAAGTCCCTATGATAGCTGTTTGGATCAGTATTCCTTCCATGTTCAGTTGGTTGAACTACATTTTTTTCTCCCATTTTATTTTGATATCCCTGCTGTTGTGAGACATTATTTCTTTTCCCAGTGGCCTGCTCATCTCTCATTATACTCTTTTGCCCATTTGCGCTCTCAGTCACATGATCATCACTACTACTCAGATTAATAATATTTGTACTAGAGTTAGAGTTAGAGGACTTACCTGCCTGAGTGCTCTCCACGTTTGGTTTGTTGCTCAAGGGAGCGATATTTGCTTGCTGCTGTTCCTGCAAGGAACCATGAGAGAGTACCTTGTTGAGTTTAGGATTCATACCTGGTTCTAAATGTCCTTCATTGCTGGGAATTCTGTCTACTGGTTTCACTCCAAAAGAAAAGTGTGATGAGTTTTCCACATCAATGACTTCCAAGTTAGTAGAACTTGTCATGGCCAGGTGATCATGTTGGCGCTGGGGGACTCTCGTAGTAGCTTGTGGACCTTCCATCTCCATTTGTTGGTTCCCTAGAGTATTGTGACCTTGCTTTTGACCATTAGGCCCTGCTTGGTCCTGGGAAAAAACTTCATGTTGCTGTTCTTCAAGTCTACAGCTATGTTCATCCGGTTCAGTTCGTGAATCGGTTGTAGATTTGAGAGGATTCATTGGGATCTTATTCTGATTGTATGTTTGAACTAATTTTGTGGATATGTTGGTCAGGTGGACCTCCTCGTCCAACGAGCAGTCGTCTCCAGTGGCGTCGTCGTCTTCTTCGACTGTTTGCTTACCGGATTTCATGTCGCCGGTGATTTGACCGGCCATTTTACTTGAGCTTAGTATGGGACGTACCTCTTCACCTGGTGAACAAACCCCAGTGGTCAATTCGCCGTGAAAGTGGTGGGAAGTTGGACGAATTTGAAGGCGCAGCTCCGGCGAGTTTGCGCCGATTTCTCCAAAATTCGCCTCGCCAGATCTCGCAATTTGGCTCGATGGAATCATGTGATTTTTGAGTATGTTGTAGCCCTCGATTAGGAGATTCATTCCCAATAAACAGTTTTCGTTGAATCTGCTTATCTTGATCTGGGGAAATAATTTTCTGAATGCCTTCCAGCTCCCTTTCAGAAATCGCGCTGTTCATCGCTTCAGTATTTCGCGATTTCGTAGAGTTGTAGGATGAATTAGAGGATGCTGCTTGGTGGGTTTTGTTCGTCTCCTCAGAGCGCCTCAGATGGCTTTGGTCCGGCGGCCTGAAGAGGCTCACCGGCGGCGTACGCGCCATTCCAG